GTGGCCATTTTGGATATTTGAAGTGATAGCATTCTCATTTGGATTCCAGGGAACAGGCAGCGAGGCGGGAAGCAGGGAGAGGACAGAAAAAGCAAAGGGGACTGGAACAGATCAAGGATTCAGCTGCAGGGACCCAGGTGAAGACAGGGAACCCAGGCCACGCCCCACAAGGAGTGAGGCAGGAAGGCAGGGAGAGGACAGAAAAGGCAAAGGGGACTGGAACAGATAGAGGAGTTAGCCGCAGAGATCCAGGTAAGGGTGGTTGGAAGGGTTTCCAACAGCTAAGGGAGACGAACTTGTCTGTCGGTTTGTCCTACTGTGCTGACATGTTGCTGTGAGTCTTGAGGCTGTGCCACTGGTGTTTCAAACCCAGTGGGATGCACCTGTTGCACAGGTATCATCCCAGCTTGCATATTGAGACAGACTAGGAAGAAGGAGGAGGCCATCCACTTCTAAAAGAATTGCCCAGGGAAAACCTAAAGAATAGCAGAGAAACACTGTCTGATAAATCCCTATAGATTGTCTAAAGCGTTGGGACTACTGGTCTGCACATATGTGGGTGGTCCTTTGAGTGAAGAAATAAGAAATAAGGTGGCTTTGTTTGTACCCTAGGTTACAAAGTTGCAGATGGGGAATGGGAAATAAGCCTCACCCCCTTTTTAGGAAGAGCCTTTCTCTTAGATGTATACTACTCAAAGAGTGGTCCCTGGACCCCTGCCAATCTGCAAACTGTTACTGCCTCTCATGAGAAAAGAACCTTGAGCCAAACTGTAAATTAACTTTGTAACTATGAATATTGTTTAATTTCATGTGTGTGTATATATATATTTGTAGAAAGACTATTTGGATGAAGGCAGCAATGTATTTGTTTATGTTGTAGTGTGATCTCTGTATTGTGTCTTGGACAAGTACAAACTGTTGGCTGATTGGCTAGTTTTCACAGCACTGTTTTTAAACCATCCCCTTACATTGCTCCAGCCAGAATCCTTACTGTTGACACCTAGCAGTGCCTCAGCAAGCTCTGTTCCACTCTCTCTGTTGAGCAAGAACAGAAAGAAGAAGAGGTTACCCTGAGAAGAGTCAAGATCACTTATGAACTGAGCACAGGAGCTGAGGTCCCTGGTTTTCTATTAGGCCTCTTTAGAAACACAATTAAGTCCCTGGAAATTTGGAGATTACTAGTCCTGGATCTCCCTCAGAGGTCTTTCTTCAACCTCTTAACTAAGTTGCCATAACAATCTGACAGACTATAACTTAGCCTGTGATGTTTTGACAGTATCTTCCATTATTTCTAGAGCAGAAAGGATATAGGATGTTAGGGAAGCCATCTCCCTAAGGAGTTTACTCTGAACTGGATGAAAATGAGGGCCTGGGGATCTCACAGATTAAAAAAAAAAAAAAAGATGATTTTTTCCTTAAAGAGAAACTAAGCAACCTGAGCATTTGGTATTTTTCAGTCAGGACAGACTCTCAGAGGACTTAGATGATAACACAAAAGGCATATACATCCTATTTTTAGAAGACACAAAGATGGGGATGAAAGCCAAGATATGTTGGATAGTATGCTCATAGTTCAAAGTGAACTTGCAGGCAGGAACAGGGACTGATTCTGTCAAGATGACATATAAAATGAAAACATATAAAGTCTTTATAGAAGGAAACTATCTTTGCTGGTTGCCAGGGATGGGAGGCAAGGGGAGGGAAAATTTCTAGATAGGTTGAAAAAAAGATTTTACATATATATAAAAGATTATTAGTGGTTACCAGGGTTAGGAAGGAAGGGGAAGGGGGAAGCTTTTGTTTGGGAAGTATGAGTTTATACTAACAGGTGGTAGAATATTTTGGAAAAGGATAGCAACAGTGGTGGCACACCATGAAAAATGTAATCAATGTCCCTGAACCATAAATGTGGAAGTTGTTATGTTGGTGAATGTCTTGTTGTGCACGTTTTCATCACAGTATAAGTAAACAAACATGTAAAGTCAAAAAAAAAAAAAAAAAAACTA